ATTGTTGATAAAGCAAAGTTGTATTTGCTATAGCAATCGACTACGATACTTATTTTTCGTTCATAGCTAGGATCTCGGGAATAACACTAGATCAGGTATATATGATATTTATTCATCCTATTTCATTTATGGTTGTAAGGGGATGAAACTAATTTTTAGGAAAGCAAGGCTTTGTGAAATGCTGATATTTGTGTGGGAAAATTCAACTACACGTCCTCTTATCACCATAAACGAAAAAAGAATGAATACATACCATATCTATACTCTACCGGTAATCTCGAAAGCCTACTTATAAATGAAAAATAATTATGCGGTAGTTAAAAATACGAAAAATTGAGCGAATCTCGTGCAGAGCGAAAAAACACAACCGACAGATTATTCTTACAGTGACTGATAATCGAGCTGCCCTCGTTGTGGAGTCTTACTGAGGCATTCATTGTGTAGGTGCGATTCGGCCAAGAGTTCCCCGAATACCCACGGGATTCGAACTGCGAAGATATCAATCCTAGCTTCAACAAGGTTCAGGACGGAAGTGAACTCCAAGAAATCCCAAGCTTTGCACAACTTCAACCCACATTAGGAAAAGATAAGGACAAATTTGTTTCTCTATTTTATCCTATATTTGCAAATAGGATAATCCTTCCTAATTCAATACTCATTAGCCACAAGTAGTACTTTCTAGGCTGCTAATATATTTTTTTAATATTTAGCCGATTTATAATACGAAATTATAATGTAATTGCAGCGTTGACTTGTATCTTATTATAAATGTAGCAAACTGTCAAAAAAGAAGTAAAAATAATACTTGATTTTTTAACTAATTTCCTCATTTCCGCCATCACCAAAATCGTTCCCATCTCCAGACTAGACTGCAATTTCTACCTTGCCTCATCATCTCATCAGCACCTCTGGTATGATGCAAATATTGGACTTGAAGGCATGAAGGCAAACAGAAAAAATAATACTAATAAAAGTAAAGACCTAATAAAAGGTTTATTATATTTAAGAGGTTAAGTCAATAATAAACGACCTGGAGGCGGAAATGAGTGTTGTAGATAGAATGCACGAATGAAGAGACAAAACATGGAAAAAGGTCTCCTTATCTCTCCTTACGCATGCCCCATTCAAAAAGTTATACTTAATTAATCTAACCTTCTTGCTAATCAAGCCTAGGGGATAATTATTGTAAAGAAAGACTAGTTTAAGCCAATCCAGTTCATTATCACAATGGTCTCTATCGGCTAG